TGTTCGGCAGGGTAGCCGGCGACACCATCTACAACCTGATGAAGATGGCCGAGGCCGAAATACGGGACGGCAGCGACGACCAGCCCATGTACCCCACCAAGGTCACGGGCGCCGAGATCATCATAAACCCGTTCGAGGACATGGTCAAGAGGGTGCAGGTGGCTACGACGACAGAGTCCGAGACCAAGAAGAAGAAGCCGAAGAGGAAGGCTGGCAAGAACGTGCTCAGCTTTGGGGATGAAGCCGAGGCTGATGCAGCGCCGGTCGCGAAGAAGCCCAAGTTCAACACCAAGCTAGTCAGCGCAGGAGAGGAGAAGCCTGCGTCGAAAGCACCCGAGGACACCAGAGAGATACCCATACGCAAGCCGTCGCGAAAGTCGCCGCCACGGTCCCCATCGCCCAAGCCCGCACAAAAAGCCACTCCCAAATCACCACCCAAACCCAAAGCGCGCACCCCACCACGAGAACTCTCGCCCGAATCCGAAAAGCGATCGAAGCTAGACCGCGTCAACCAGCAGATTGCCGACCTCAAGGCATCCATGAAGCGGAACACAGCTGCCCAAGATACAGGGCCAGCCAAGAAGAAGTCGCTACTGGAGTCAATGGTACCGTCAACTACAACACGGGGACGGAAACGCGGAGCAGGCGGCAATGCAAAAGACGAACAGTCAGCGCTGGACATTCTCAACCGGTTCAAATCAAAGCTGGACTCAGCAGACTCCACTGCCGTCCCCAAAATGGCCACTCCAACATTACCAGAAGAAACACCCAGCAACCAAGGTAATGGAGACGCGAACGGAGCCGACGAAGAAGAAGAAGGTGCATGTGATTTACACTTCATAGTAGGATGCCAGTCTTGTAAAGCCTGGGACAAGCAGGATGAGGAGGAGTCTGATGACGACGCAGGGTGGATGTCGCATTCGCTCAGTTTTGCAAAAGACAGGTTAGGGAAAGACCTGGAGTGGAAGCGGAAAAACGAAGAGGAGTTGTTGGTCATTGACCCAAGAGAAGAGGCTAAGCGGCATAAAGCCGAAGGTAAAAAGGACAAAAAAGCGCGCGAGGATGCAAAGGCTACCAAGGTCAAGGCTTGATGTATTTTCGATACCCAGAGTTCACGTTCGACCAGACAGGATTGGTCACCGTCTCGCGACATATGGAAGTACTGGATATAGGGCCTATCTGCTCGAGCACGGTACCTGCCAATATACCCATGATATTCCCCTCGTCACTTTGATCTGTAATCCCATAGCCTGCCTTCCGCATCGGTCCTGTCGTATCTCGACAAATTTACGTGCCTTCACCACGTCACGCACGTGGGAGATACGCGAGCGGTGTGAAGGCGGAGAAGAGTAGCGGGCAGAGCTGCGCCCTTCCGTATCTTACCGTCACCTTCACTTTCCCCGCCGTATATCTTGAACCTTCTGTCACCTGAACTCTGCTCTCACACACTCTACCACCCTAAGAACAATTTCGACATCAGCGACGTCTGTCATTGATCCCCTGATACCTACCAACAGCTTCACCAACCATCTCCAACAAGTAAGTTCTCCAGCTGCCCACCATTTCCCCAAGTGAGCGGGCTCGCGCCTTGGAGAGTGGTCGCGACAGCTCGGGACAGCCGCTCACGGCCTTGCCCTTTGCGTTTCCCTCCCACCATCGCTGGACGTGACCGCTACCATGATCATGTCCGGCGCCTGCAGTATCTCAAAATCCTAGCTGTACTAACACTCCCCAGTCTCCCCACCACAATGCCGATCACCTGGACCAACCCCGAGGTACTCGAGCGCCTATTCATCGCAACACTCGCAAGCTTCGATAACAAGGTACGTCCATCCCATGCTACAAATCCTCTACTACAATCCCTCTCAACCATCCATACTAACCAACCCCTCCCCCCAGGTAAACATCCGCTCAATCGCCACTCTCTACGGCGGCGAAATGACCTATGACGCGCTTGAGAACCGGATGCGCAAGTTCAAGAAGGCGGCCACCTTGCTCAAGGAAGAAGCCGCTGGTGCTGACGGTGCTGGTGCTGCGAAGAGCCCGGTCAAGACGCGCGCGAAGAAGGGCAGTGCTAGTCCGGTCAAGGGTGGTGAGTGTTGTGTGTCATTGGATGACTAGATGAGACGGACGTACTGACCAAGCGTACAGCTGTCAAGACCGGTCGCGTTACCAAGAAGAAGGCTCCGGCTGCTCCCAAGATCAAGCCTGAGCCAGTCTTTGAGGAGGACGAGGGTATGCATGGTATCGTTGAGGAGGACCTAGAGGCTGGTGAAGAGGTCATTGACGAGATTGAGGAGGAGGTCTAGAGGATTTGGTATCTTCAGGGCTTCTGCTGGTCATTGAGCACATCTGGATCCGACGCTTTGGACGCTCTGTGAGCTTCTCTAACGACCTGAACATGTTTGCGCGCTTGCATGCCTGTGCGTCGCTGTCGACGCGTACGCGCTGAGACTAGCAGTCAGAAAAGTTGAATCGAATTCATCGAGCGCGCGTTAGCTTCTATGCTACGCAAGTGTGCTCAATGCAATGACTACAATGTGTACCTCTGGTCATCCAAGCTTCCGCCTTCCTTCTGAATACATACTGTATACCCTCTCTAAATCCACGTAGATCCACTCACTTCCGCACTCACGTCCTCCATGTCCTCCCTTCACCTCACCCTACTCCAGCAAATCAAACCTCTTCCTTCCCTGCGGCGTCGGCGTAACAGGTACATACCCACCACTCCTCCCCCCATTGTCATCCTCATCCCCATCCCCATCACTGTCCTCCGCAGTCGGCGTTCCTCCCCCAGCCAGGTGACCCATGTCATTTCCATCGAAGATCATACCGCTCCGCCTCCCACTTCTCGGCGCATCACCCAGAGTCATCGGCCGCGTTGCACTGCCGTTTACTGATGAAGGTGAAGGCGTCAACGGTGCTGGGAGTGCCGAAAGCCGGAGAGTGGGCAGCGGAGAAGAATGCAAGCTGGAAAACACATCGTCGTATTTTTGAGCTAGGATCTCGGAGCTTTGGCGATGATGCGTGCTGATGTTGAGTCCCTGTTCGAGGGCTGTAGCGAGGGCTTCGATGTCGCCGGTGGAAACGGAACGGGGGCGGGTTGGGCGCAGTGGAGCTTGAGGAGCCACTAGTTGTTCGCCGTTAACCTTCTCCTTGCCTGATATTTCTTCAGGCCAGTCATCGTAAGGAGGCGAACGGATGTAACCCGCAGGTTGTAGGCGACCGAGTTTAGAAGCTTTTTGTGCCAGCTTCTCGTTTGCTTTGATCAACCTTTCTTTGTCCTGCAACAGGACTGCGATATCAGAACGCAGTTCACGGTTCTCGGCCATGAGCGCAATAGCATGATTACGCGATCGCTCGACCTCGTTATCGTTCACTGGAGATGAAGACGATTGCACAGTCTGGTGTTCGTGTTTGTTATAACCTTGACGAATACCATAACGCTCCAATGGTACATGGCGCTCCTGTTGCATGGCTTCGTAGAGATAGTTCATCCTGATGCCTTCTGCAACTTCTTTCGGGAGTTGCTCTGATGTTGCAACTGTCGTAAGCGGCTTGCCCGTATGCAGATGGGCAATGCGTGGGCCAACTACCATGTCCAGAAACGCATGTAGACGTTCTTGAATGATCGTCTGCCACGGTTCGTACTGTGACCCTATTTGGGGCTTTAGATGGCTTGCCAACTTGTGCAAGTCTTCCAACTTCGACTGTGCGGTCTCGAGGGCTTCCATCGTTGTGGCATCATGTCTAGGTGATATGCTTCCTGCTGTAGCAAGAATACTGTGCTTCATTTTCTCTGGATCGGCGAAGCGAATCAATAACGTGTGCACTGTCGGGCGCGATAATCGAATCCGATCACAGATGGAATCCAACACAATCAGATCGAAGCCATATCCATCACCCGCCTCTTGTGACTTCGTCAGGAAATCTCCTAAAGCAACCCATCCACGCATGTCCATGTTGTCGATCGGCTCATACCAAGCTTCTGGGGTTTCCGGCAGCTCAACGACCTCGTAGTGTAGTATCCAGATGAGGAAGTTGGAGAGCTGCGTAACATTTAGGGCGTCTACAAATGCTTTGGCGAACCTCGAGATAATGAGTGGTGGCGCTGTTGGTACTGGAGATGATGATGGTGGCGTGAGCACTCGATTCTGTACTTCTGGCTCGCGAGATTTGCCGAAGAATCTTCGAAAGCCATTCTGACGCCGCTCAGGTTGAGAGACAGGAGATCCGGATGACGTGGGAGTCGACGACCGCATGGTAGTAGATGGTGTGAGACGGTCCGGCCGAGACTTCCTGCCCATCCTGAGTATTGAGGGCTTGCGTTGAAGCTTATCTGATGAGGCCATCGCTGTTCGTGGTTGCGGAGAGCTTCGGTGCGGAAACACTGTAGACTGGTTGCGGCTGCGTGCTGGTTGAGTGTTGGTTACGGCGCGCGCGGTGAAGCACCGAAAATTCTTTACTCGATGTTAAATGATTTGAGATTCACTACATAAGGTAAGCTTTTCCAATGCTTGCGATTGACGTGTAAAAGTGATTCATTGCATGCAGCCTAAGAGAGACTGATTGAATCGCTCATACCGAGCCAGGTAGACTCTGGAAAGTGGCTGCCACACACGGATTCACTCCAGAAGCTTCAGGTGAGTGACTCCTGATAGTAAGGACTAATACCACGGCGCGACCCAATTCTTGCGCAATGTCAATCACCAGCTGCCCGCTATCAGTATAGTCTAAGCACCGAGCAGCACTAGTCGAAACGCTGAGCTCGATTTCTCGCAACAGAGAAGGACGGACAACTGATGTTTCATCGGCCGCAAATCATTCGTCTGAACAGTGGCTGCCTTCACTTCGGAGTATGTCGAGGTGCTTCCTCGTATATCTCGCATGGAAGTCATTAACAGTGTGATGTTGATTCGTCTACGTTCGTCTCCATTTCGGTATATATCGTGTAGTAAAGCGCGTGTCGGTATGGTAGTTGGGCGCGTATATTTCCGTCTCTAGTCTTCATCGTGACTTTGATGCTCGTCATCCGCAAACATCTTCGGTAGATATAGTTTCGTGTTCTCGTATACCAGAAACGTAACAACAGTAGTCGGGATAACCCGGAGCGTGTTAGGTATAACACTGTGAAGGTTAGCCTTGCTATCCATCGGATCCCAGAGCGTAGGTGCTTTCTTACCCCTTGTAAAACGCCAGGAACCCTTCGTTCTGGTACGTCTTCCTGAGCACATCTAGCAGGCCGTTGTACTGCTGTGCAGCATTGTATTGCTGCAACCGCGCGCGTATGGGTTGGTACGGGTACGTGATTGCTCCAGCAAGCAGCTTGCTTCCACCGCTCATATACACATATTCCCAATTGCTCAGCTTGTCTTGCCCACCGATATGCGTCCCCCGTCTCTTCTTCATATTCTCGTATATGCTGAACTGTACGGCGCCGTGCAGCACACCCAGCGACGAAGGTAAGAACCCTGCCCAAAGCCCCTTCAGTCCTCGGGTTTCGTATACGTGTTGGAGGCCAATTTTCATGGACTTGTATGCGGCAGGGTGGTTTGCGCCGCGCTCGAGCATGCGCGTTTTCACGACCCAGATTGGGTTGGTACAGGCACCGGTGAGGAGACCTAGCAAATGGTTAACGATGCCCATAGGAGTTCCGTGTCTCCAAACATACCAGCGATGATACTCGCAGAGAAGAACTCGGCACTTCCCAGATGCTCGCCCTTCTGCCTTCTACTTTGGAACAATTCTTTCAGGTTTCCATAGAACAGGAAGTATAGACCCCAACCCAGACTGTTACCGAGAAGGTTCGGCCATAGGCCCCTGTATAGTGCGCGTACGCCTCCTTCATCTCTGATGACGTTCCGCAGAATTCGGTAGGAGTCGCCAGGTCGCGATCGACTGGTGGTGTTGAGTTGCAGGCGGTTCTTCAGCAGATCGAGTGGATGGGCAGCGAGACAAGAGACAACGCCAGCGCTGAACCCGGCTACACTCTCAACCAGAGAGGCTGATAAGGCGCTCCGGGGCACATTTGCTCGTTTGGTTTTATCATTTTGCTCTACGGGTGGGAATGCGCGGGGCATTGCGGGTTCGGATGGTGGGCCGTCCAAATCGGCAGGAACATCCTCAGGCTCGGTGGGATGAAGGTGATGCTGGGGACGTTGCGATATCGGTGCTATATCATCGCGGCTGCTGTGCGTGACTGGAATACGCGCGGGCGATCGTGGAGGGGAGAAGATGTCGGATGCGGACTCGGTGGAAGCTTGGGCCCACCTGCGGAGCTACTACCCGCGAACACCTCGCGTGGGACTACGTCACCGCACGTGGCCGACACTGTGAGCAATGCAACATGTCGCGATGGTCTGCCTGGGCGGCACTTACACGTTTCACCAAACTAGAGAGCTGCGATAATCGCTTTAACAAAGGGAAGGCTATATTTTTAACATACTAAACATACACAACAAGATCAGACTACACGCCCGCACCAAACTTCTGATCCGAGCAACAAGTCGCATCCGCCGCGCTCTCAGGCTTCTTCTCCTCACCAAACGCCATACGACTCAACTTATCCACAAGCGTACTTCCCTGCTTAACACCACTCGGAACACTGCAATAGCTAGGCGGAATATCCATACAAGGATTACGTGTGAAGAAGTTGCGCGGTCGCAGCAACAGCGTCATGGGCTCAGCAGGCATAATCGGAAAGTCTTCCGGCGATGGGAAATGCGTGATACCGAACGTGTGCCACAGTACGACGTCGGTGTTGTCGAGGTTTTCGTTCGGGTTGGCTTCGATCCAGGCGGGTATGCCTTGGGACGGCTCGCCGGAAGTCTGGGGGACGTGACGGCCGGCTGGGTGGAGTTGTGTGTCGTCGTCTATGACACGTCAGCTAATGATTCCACACACAATGGTCTGAATCAACTCACACTTCGTGACATGTACCGCATGTCTCGCGAAACCGGCGCGCTTCCATACCAAACTTCCAGGCTTTGGTAGCAGATCAGGCACTTCTCTGCTGACCAGCTTGTAGGAAGCTGGCTTCTTGCTGTATGGGTTGAGCTTGTTCGTATTGGCCATCTCCCATGTTCTGCTCGTTCCGCCATTGTAGTCCGTTGCCGCCTGCTCAGGGGTGCTGAGCTTCGTCTTCTTCGCGTAGAAAGCGTTGCCGTACTTGTTCTCTGCGCTGCCAACTTCGCCTTCTCCACGCATCGCGTCGACCATGAAAACGGTGTTCTCTGGTCCGTCAATGTTGGGATCGATGCGCATACAGAAGAGATGCTGATGGTTGTGCGCGTTCACTCCAGGGTACACCTCAGTGCCCCAGCCCTTCAGATCTTCGCCTGGAAGCATCGCGTACGTGTTCAAGATACCGGTTAATTTGATCTCCAGCTGGATGGTTCCGTCAAGATGGAAGATCCAGTATACGCAGTACTCGTAGTTCGCGGCTGTGAAGATCTGCGAGATTATGAGTTTGCGGGCACGAGTGACAGTAACACTGTCATCTCGGAAGTCTGTGTGCTTGAACAGGATACCGGCATCTTCCTCATGAATGCAGATAGCATTCTTGATCGTTGTAGCCTGGCCCGCTCGGTTGACAAAAGCAGCGTCCATGTAGTGAATTGCGCCCTTGCAGTCACAGCCCAGGCTAAGCGAGTTGGTCATGTAGCCACCACCGTATTCTCCCAGATCGAAAGCGTGCTTACGCTGATGTGGGTGTTCTGGGTTGCCGTAAGGTACAACCATCTCCGCGAGCGATAGGCGCCAGAAGGTATCGCGAACGGTGCCCTTGTCGTCAAACGTGATGTTAGACAGAACCAAGCCTTCGCGGTAGTTGAAGCCAATGTGGAACTTCCAGTTCGCCCAGCTGATGTATCGTCCGTCCAACTTAAAAGAGACGCCTTCTGGCTGTGTTATGTTGATGGGCTTCAAATCTGTCTTGAACCCACCCTCAGCCTCAATCGCAGCCGCGTGATAGTTGTTTGGCGGGGCCTGATTCAGCGGTCGACGAACTGGTGGGACGTCAATGTGAATGATCTCCTGGGTATCGGAGTTGTAGATTGGGCAGAAATCCAATGGGTACGTGTATTGACAGTCATCGGGGTGTGGGCGGTAGTACATGAGCGCTTGCTGGAGACGAACTTTGGTGCCGAATCGTTCATCGTAACCAATCGTCCAGGGATCGCAGTACACTTTGTGCATGTCCTCTGGTGGGATGCCGATCAGGCCGCATTGTTCGATGACTTTGGGATCTTTCCGCACAATTGTCTCCACAATCTGCAGGTCTTCCATTGTGATCTAGATCCAAGTCAGCAGGATCAAAACCGCACTCCCACACTCGCTAACGTACAAGTGGTTGCACATCATCAGTCAGCGCCCAGCTGATGATCTTGCCTTCGGTCAAATCTGCGTGTCCATCATACACTTTGCTGCCTCGGCCAATGCAGACTACGTCAGCAACTCGATGTGGTCGTGGGGTGTGCTCAGAATCTTTCAGCCAATTCATCATCTCCGCTTTACGCGGCTCTAACAAGGTGATGGCGTTGAAGAACACATCGCTGTGCTCTTTTCGGATGATAGCGACTGCGCCTTCAATCTCCGACTCGCTCAAAGGATCAAATGGGTGCGGAGGTTCTCCAACGCCCGTAATATGCGAAGCAGCTTGCTTCAATCGATCGAGCGCCATAGTATGGATGGTTGTGATGTGAGGGTGGTCGGATAAGGTTGATCGCTCCAAGCTGTTAGGGTCCAGCGGGGTCTTATATACTGGAGGCAGATCAACGGTCTAACGGCATCGCAGCGCGATCTCAGATATCTTCCTTTGAATCGAATCACGGCCTGTTGGCGAATCGGTCAAGTCATTAACGCATTGTATTATTCCCATCTGTCAACTTAGAGTCTTTAACGTTGTTATCAACACGATAAGAAGAGCCCGCGGGACTATCGCGCCTCTCTTGGTTAGCTTGCCCCACTTCTCCACGCACGTTGCTCTCTGGGCATGATGCACCGCGTGTATGACAGCTACCATCTCTGGACGCTGCACTGTTCTTCCATCGTTTATCCATCGAAGCTGTGAGTGTTGTCGCAGAATCCCGATGCAGTAGGTCCACGCGACAGGACGCTGGGTGGGCAGGTACGGCGGTCTCGTCAAGCGTCGGACAAGAAGGTCCGACTGTGCGGGCTGCGAACTCCGAGATCGCGATCTCCAAACTTGAGTACTACATGAGGTTGCAGCTGAGCGAACTGAACACTGCTGTCTATGCTAGCCGCAGACGTTCTACTGACGAGCAGACCCATCGCAAAGCACGTAAAGTTGAATTCGCCTGCGAACAATTTCATTGTTTTTAAATGCGCAGCCGAGTTAAGTATGTACGCGGCCTTACAACCCAGAGAGTATATCCTCGGTAGCCTTTTCGCTGATCATCATAGTAGGCAATATAGGAAACCCCCCAGGCACCTTCGGAAAGGCGCTTGCATCTACGACTCGCAGGCCCTTCGTTCCTCTCACTCTAAACTTACTATCTAGTACCGCGAACTTGTCTCCATCGGCACCGATTCTACAGCTGCTACTCGCGTGATGACTGTACGCCTGCTCTTTGATATACGTCTTCTGGCTCTCGACCGTACAGTTTTGCTTCCCAATGGTGCCTTCGCAAGGGTGGAGTTCTTCGAAAGGTGCTAGCGAATCAGGTGCAGACGGGTCCACTTTTGACAGCCAGGAACGCACCCACTCGACACCTTCATAGATGGCTTGGAGATCTTCCTCTGCGCCGTCTTTGAAGAAGTTGAGGTTGATAGCTGGCACGTCGCGCGGATTATCAGATCGGAGTTCGACCGTGCCAGCTTGCGAACGCGGATTCATGTGGACCATTGCGCACTCGTACTGTGATGGGCCGTAGGTCTCGTTGAAGTACGGAGGCCGATTGGGAAAGCTATCGCTATCATTAGTGCATCATCAGAGAAGGATGTCCACTGGATGCTTACCCTGGCCAGAAGCCTTCGAATGCGAAAGAGCCACACCACATGTAAATGTCGCGAATGCCCAGTTGCGAAGTGGACGTCTTCCAGAAGTTGGGGAAGATTTCCGACATGCCAGTAACGGCACGCTTTCCGAGCGACAATATACCAGCCTCATAGTTGTCGGCCATTTGTCTGCCCACACCCGGCAGCTCTACCACGGGTGAGATATTGAACTTCGTGAGTTGATCGAGCGGGCCAATCCCAGAAAGCATAAGCAGTTGCGGTGAATTGAATGCGCCACCAGAAACAATGACCTCTTTGGACGCGAAGACTTTCCCAGCGACGCCTTTGGAATCGGCATTGGAACGAGGATCAGCACTGTACAAGCTCTTACCTTGCAGGTACTCGATACCGACTGCTCTGGGTGGTCCCGGAGAGACCTTGTCGAAGATGATCTTTGTTGCAAGTGTTTCCAGCGAGATAGTCAGCGGATATTTGCCAGAAGCAGCAGTATCTCTGGCGTAGTATCCGGGAGACGACCGGCGTCCATTGGGGTTGATGTGGCTGACACCACCGAAAGGTCCGACAAGCTGGTCGCGATCTGGCTGCGCACCATTCATATCTCGCTGGAGCAACGTCGAAGCAGAAGAGGTAGGGTAGCCGGCGGCCTCTGCAGCGAGTTCACTGAGCTGTTTGGCATCCGCGCTGGTAGTGTAGCCAGGGTCTAGCATGGTCATATCGAGCCAGCCGTCATGGCCATGCTCGTATGTGCTGTTGTAGTGCACCTTCTCGAGCTTGATGAGATACTTCCTCATATTCTCATGCGACCATGAGTCGTCCCCGGTCATTTTCGCAATCTCGTCCCAGTCTGCATTGTTGGGGTTCATGGTCAAGCAGCCGTTGTGCATCGCACAGCCACCCAAAGTGCCTGCGCGCGGATAGTACTTAGTTCATAGTCAGTACCTGCTCTGGTCTCTTGCACGGGCCCATGCTCACAATTCCAAGAGCTTCAGAGTCCGTAGGGGGCTCGATGCCGACGTAGAACCCTCCATCTGGCTTACGCCACGTTCGATGCAAGTATCTCGCTTCCCTGGCCTCGTCGTCGGAATGCTTCACGAAGAAGTCCCAGCGCTGTCCAAACTCTTAGTCATGTCTTGATCGCAAACTCCCTCCACGTACTGTAGCGGGATCGTTCCCAGCTAGATTGAAGTTCAACCAGTTTGACACATTGAGGTTTTCCGTCTGGTCATCCCCGGCTTCAAGCAGTAACACGGAGTGACCAGCTCTAGCGAGATTGGATGCAAGCGGTCCGCCGCCAGGTCCAGAGCCTACGACGATGTACTCATAGGTCTTGTTGTCGATTGACGTTGCGGCCACCGCTGTCGCACAGAGAGCTGCGGCCGCAATGATTGAGCGAAGGGGAGCCATGATGGACGATGCGAAAGTGGAATTGAGCCAAGAGGTATTCAGCTTGTAACGATGGCTAAATCCAAGCTCAAGTATTATCTCTCTTCCTGTTGAAGTTGACCGATTGTTGTTGACCTGCCAATATCGCCGGATATGCAGGCACAGAGCGCAATCAATGCAAGGCGATCAGCTCACCCGGGTCGATGAAGGCCTAAGAAGAGTCTGCTTCCTCTTTCGAACAAGGTCGTGCACAAAGATTCGTTCGCGTAACATATGGTGCATATATTCCCTAGCTCCCGCTCTCCCAGCGACAGTGGCTGGGCGAGAATATCAATGCTGATTCGCCCGGTTATAACGCTGCATATCGTGCTGCATACCCAATAAAGCGACAAGATTGGATTGCTAAAGTGTCAGCTTTCAACTTCTTGCGATGACTAACATAGAAGCTTGAACGGTGAGCCGGTACATGCGCAGTTGGAAAGAGAATGGAAGCCGGTGGCTGGGTGCTATGTCGGCTACGCAAGTGGAACATGAGCACCCACCATGCGTTCCTTGAGCTTTCTTCCTCAACATCACTTTCGCACTGGTACGTCCTGTCTTGCCAATATGTTCACGTGTGTTCTAGATACTCACTACATGCCACGGCCATCAACACACATGAATGAACGACGAAACAGCTTCATCCTTGGGTTCACAGTTACACAGTATCAATTCTCAGCTACAATTTGCGTTTCAACAATCTTCAATCTCCCTTTCTTCTCAGGATCTCCACTACTCCTCTCATGTCTCCTTCACCTAAAACCTAACACCCACGATCTCGTCACGATAATCCTCCCTAGTCATGCTTGCGTGCTCCTCGAGATGCTTCTGCGCTTCTTCTTTGAACTGAATCTCATCCCAATGGTAGTCGAGCGTGACGACGGCATTGATAGGATCGCTGAACTCAGGCACGAGCAGTAGTGAGTAGATGGTATCGATAACATCCTTGGTAGAAGTATCCAGCGTCCAATTGCGGTCCAAGATCGAATGACAGATGCGTCCATGACGGTTGATGTTTGGGTGGTAGATGGGTGTGATGAAGCGTGCTTCTGGCGGCGACCTCGGATAGTTGTTGCCCATCTCCAGGTAGAGAAGAAAAGTTCCACCAGCATAGGTACTATCAGGTGGCCCTATTGATAATTAGCATCTTCTCGAACAGGACGTCAGCGCGTGCCTTACCTTGCATAGCAATCTTCCAGAGCCCCATGTTCGACTCGCACACGTAGACATCGTAGTACGGGTGCGGCTTTGCGCCTGAGTTGCGAATTTCGTTGTGAATCCTGCTCAGGCGCACATTGTTGTCGGTACGAGTGACTGAAGCGCTTTTGCTGAAGTGGCCAAGCTCAACAAAAGATTCAGTGAGCTGAGGGTGCTGCTTACGGTCTGGAAACTCGTCGCGACTAACCTTTTCGATCTTACCCATGTCTTGGGCAAGACGGAATTGGTAAGTGCTTGGGTTCGCCATAAACGAAGTATGACGCACAGACCTCGCCGGCGACTTGTCTGGACGCTCCAAGAGGGAAAGGACAGGCTCCATTTCACAGATCGCCATAGCGTCTTCAAGACTCTCTGGTTGGAACGCGTAGCCGCCGGTCAAGTAGGATATTGTCTTGAGATCAGTGTGATCGGCATCGGTGCCCAGGCAGAAAGAGTCCACGACGATACCTTTTCGGAAAAGGCCCGAAGGCAGTTCATGAGCCCGGTTGTTGGATTTGTTGTCTTCGCCATCAGAGATGACAACGATTCTCAATCTCGCATTCGGGTACTGTGTCGCGTACTCTTGGAGTTGATCTTGCGCAAGTAGAATACTATCCCAGACGGCCGTATCACCAGTAGCCCGCATGTCGTTGAGCTTATGACGGAAATTCTCGACAGAGTGGGTGATTGGCTGTAGCAAGGAAGGCTTGGTGCTGAAAGTGACCAGCCCGATGCGTGTCTGGTAGTTGTATGCAAGTAGTCGATTGATGTAGGCATCGAACATCTGTTTCAAAACATCAAGACGGCTAAGTCGAACGCGATAGTTGGACAGGCTTGATGCATGCTTCAGGCATAGTTTGAACACATGCGGACGTCTTAATTCGTCTCCACCACGAGTGTCTTCTTGTGGCGATAGTGACAAGCAGCTCTCGTGAGACACTCTCCCTCTCGAGTCTTGGGTGTTGAAATACGATGAGATCGGTGTCCAATGCGCGTGGATAGGGGTACCGTTGTACCAGCCATCACCGGTGTCCCGCATTCTGGTCCAGAAGACAAAAGGTTCTTCAACGCAAGACGTCGACCGCTCCGTGAACCTGTGGCGATAATATCGGAATACCGTTGATGCTAGAGATTGCGTAGACAGCTTTGGTACCCAGTAAGATACTACAGGGCTTTCATGACAATCACCGCGGTAGATCTTGACAAGGCACAGTTCCTCCACGTCTCCTTCCCTGGTGGAAGCCATCGGGGTTGTTGGCGTAACGAAGACCTCGTGCGCAGCGTCGATCACAGCCGCGACGGGTTCTTCGGTGGCCGGAACTTGAGCATTCTGATGTCGTAGCTCGTAGCTTGCATATCGGCCCTTGACTAAACGAAAGGCAATTTCCCACAATTCTATCGCTTTCAGATCACGTGGTACATCCATCGAGCGTGTCTCCAAGGGTGATCTGAGAGTAACGCGAAGTGTCTGCGAAGGGGCACTTGCTCTCGCGCCATGTAACGCGTACTTGGACACAATATCCGAGCCGTTTAGATACGCGACAATTCGTTCCTGTAGTTCCACGTTGGGTCGCAGGTCGTTGCTGGGAAGAATTAGGTTGGTGAATGGCGAACGCTCATTAGTACGAAGCCATCGTTCGATTTCTCCGCGCTCGTAAGTGAAGTTGTCCACGGTAGTCACGGGATCCTGCATTATATCGTTGCTAATCGGGCAGCAATACTCTCGCGGTATCTCAAACTTGGGACAAGTCGTAACTTTCCTTGGGAGGTTTTGGTAGATCTTTGGAACTTCGTCGCCTGGCTTCCACAACAACGGATCCGATACAGATGCATTACCCACACAAGTCATCAGCCAGGCACAAAGTAGGCTTCTATACTTCTTCAGACGGAGAGACCGGTTATTGAGAACGTTTATGTCGTGGTCAATCGATGTTGACTGGCTGCGGAAGGACGATCGGCTGGCTTGTTCTCTAAGCTTCTCCAACTTTTCCCGTTCAGCATAGATCTGTTGATCGTGGAGTTGCGTAAGGATGTCCAGCACCTTCTCGGCATTCTGACGGCAATGGTAATCGTCTGTACCTGTGCCAATGATGGCAAGGAAGTCATCGTACGACTCGTGGGACCTCAGATACTCTTTCAGTTCATCGGGGCCGGCCAGAAAGAAAGCAGGATTCTCCGGAAGCAGAGTTTGAGCCGCATGCTCAGCTGACTGTATCTGTCGCTGGGTCTCTTCGTCGGCGTCTTCACTGTGTTGTATGTCGATGAAGCCACAGCGGTCATTCATACTGGAGCTGAGGTCCACGCATATCATCGTCAGCTCTTCCGGGTCTGTCAGCTTGCGATGGTGATCGCCGTATGCCTCGAAGACGAGTGTTCCATCAGCCTTACGTTGGGCAAGGATTGGCTCTAACAACCGAGTGATGATCGAAACATCCACTACCTCTTCTTCGTGTGAGCTTGATGGCCGGGCGATGAGCATGTCTTTACCAGCCTCTGCGCAGCCCGCACGACCCAAATATGCAGCAAGGAGGCCATATCTATCCAGGGTCAAGACAGGAGCCGAAACGGAAGCTAGACTTGCCGGGGGTGCGACGCTCAGTCCATTGCGACTACAGAGACTGGCCAGATATGTGAGATCTGTCCACTCTGCAGGTGAGATGACTTTACCGATGTCGCCGCCGTCCATATAGCGAGTGTTGGTCCTGATCGCATCGAGGTTGAACACTAAGACTTGTTCCCTGGCACCGCCTGACAGTTTAGCAATCCGGTCCCAAACCGGATCGGGTGCCAGTACCTTCTTTGAGGCGTTTTCAATCGTCCATCTAAGAAGTCCTTGTTCCTTGAATGCTTCATAGAAACCAGCACTGGCGAGACCGTTGGTCGTCTGCACAGCCTCCGATAAGACGGGCTGCGAGGTAATGAAGTTTCGCAGGTCGTAAACTTTCATGCCAACGTAAGGTAGCCTGGAATCTTGCTTGGTGATCTTCAGCTGTTTCGCTTTCTCCAGTATGAGACCGAACAATAGACGAGATCCTTCGAAGAATCGCTTGGGGTCAGAACGGACCGTTAGCAGTGGGACGACCTTCTTCAGGATCTCGTATAGGCACTGTGTCAACGCGGCACGTTCTGGAAGTTTGGGGGTCTCGCCGCGCGTTAGGATGCGTACAGCTCGAACAGCAGGAGGAAACTGTGTCAGGAGGTGGACTACCCTCAGGACTGCATCTTCCCTTCTCAACTCCATGCCTCCAACGAGTTCGGTGAATATACGCAATGTCGACAGAAGACTGGCAAGTCCGCGCTCGGTGTGACCGATGCGGTGTTTCCAGGCCTCTGACTTCTTGAAGATAGCGGCCTTACCTCGACCGAGACTCTCATTCCGACCCAGCGTCCATCGCTGCACGGCGTAGATATTGAGCACACCGTTGATAGCGCAATCTTCCAGTCCAGCGGCTTCGATGGTGAGTTCAGCGTTATGTGCGGTGATGTTGATAGGGCATTCGGATGTGTGCACGTCGAGAACTAGGGTTCGTTGAGTAACATCGTCTTCAGCGTGTTCAAGGGTACTACGCGAACGGCATCGCCACGAGCAGATAGCCATCACTGGAGCTTTGAGATAGTTTTTATCCCCGTCAGATTGATCGCTCGCGTCCTCGATGCCACCGACAGTGTTGATGACCTTTCCAGTAAGATCTTGGTGCAGGGTGTTTATCATGTGCGAGTTCGTCGCTTGCTGAATCGTGCTAAGTTTCATGTCCTTTACTGGGATAGCGACGACGATGTTGTTGGAATGGACTACGATAGCTGTACGAAGAGCATCGTAGTCCCCAGTTCCGTTGACGTTGGGGACAGCACTTTCGTCGATCGACTGAGCGAGCCTACAATTACACTCCAGAGCTGGACAGCCAGTATGCTTCGTCGAGAGCCCCAGATGTTCTCGAACGACACCCTTCAATCGCAACAAAGTGCAGGTGGTCGATACATGCGTGGATACCATGGGAATCTCTTCGAAATTGGAATGAGCCAACTCTGGGGTGATGACGCGAACGCGTATTGTCCTGTCTTTTTCGCCAGACGTGGCCAGCTCCGATGGAAGCGATGAAGCGGGCTTCTTATCGTGAGTCTAGAGTGAATTAGCGTCTTCCGCACATTCAGAGTTCCTGGCAATTTAAACAAAATGAACTTGCCGTCGACTTACATCGATGATTGCGTATACAATCTCTTCGGGGTTGGGTAAGACGTCGGACAAAAGATCTTCAATATCCAGCATTGGCCCATCTTCTCCTTTGAGATGCAGAGTAATTCGGGGCTCCTTCGTGTCGGTGATTCCCAATTTGTCGGCCAAGGTCGGTAACCGTGATATGATGCCATCGTGTAAGGCCGAGCAGAGCTGAGATGGGGAAAGTACAACGAGTAAGCTCGCTCTACGCCCTCCAGCTGCGACGTTAACCGTGTATCTTGCCATGCTAGGCGTGCGCAGGTAGTTGAAATTGCTGATGTTGAGCCTGTGGTAAGGTAGAGGAAGAAGTTGGTAGGCCAGACGTGGATTAGTTATAATAAGTTAGTATGCTCATGTGCGCTTGTAGCAAGCCAGTGGACAATGGAAGACAATGGTTATGAAATAAACAGTGTTTGTTCAAAGTCATGTCTTGAATACACAAACAGATCGATAGACATGGAATCCAGGTGAGTTGTCTTGGAGGATGGTAACAGACCGTAAGGTACAGGCACGGCCGGTGCGAAAGCACAGGGGTAAACGAGACGCATGGACAGATTGAGTTGATCCAGGGATATGCGACAAAAGCGGTTCTGGTTGGATTGTCAAGTTTGTAGCATCAGTAAGACAGACAAGGCCCACAAATTCATGGTATTGATAGGAGAAGAAGAATGCGGTGCATTGTACTCGTGTAGCCGCGCAACCTTACGCTGACGTCGTGGCATCATGGCGTTTGAGAGCGTATCAATAAGGCCTGAGACTAATGGAGATGAGAGTGATGGGTAGCAGTCGGATGTGATGAGAGAGTGAAGTTAGATGAAAGCGACAAGACACGTGTTAGCGCGCATTGGGGCTTATCGATAACGTCGCCGGGGAATTATCCAACTGTCCTCATGGCCCTCCACCAAACCACGACTTGCGCCAACCTGTCCTCTACCCACGCACATATCGCTACGGTCCCATAAACGTCCCACTCCAGCATACATCAAGCAGACATCAATCATGGAGTCACCGGACACTTTCACGCTCCTCCCCCTCGAGATGGACCCGCAAACCAGCACCATCACCGCATCCCAAAGCACCAGCAACGCCCTCCAGACCGAGCTCGACGCCCTAAACAACCTCCACAGAAACCTCCTGCACGTCGAAACTCCCACGGGCACACCGCCGCCTCCTGTCCCCGTCAACCCCAAGCGCTCCGCCCAGATCAACAAGCTGCGCGAGTCGGGCAACGCCGAGTTCAGGAAAGGAAAGCCCGAAGAGGCGGGCAAGCTCTACACCCTCGCAATCGACATGGCGCTCGCACGTCCGGCATGGGAACCTTCAGGTCTCGTCAGGGAAGAAGTCTCTGGACTGCTCAGCAACCGCGCACAAGCAAACATGGCACTCAAGAACTGGGCAGAGGGCGCAGTAGACGCAGAGGCCAGTGTGGAGATGAAGAAGGTGGGCAACGCCAAGGGCTGGTGGAGGCGGGGCAAGTGTCTGCTCGAGATGGGCAGGCTGGACGAGGCAGAGCAGTGGGTCAAGCAAGGATTGGAGTTTGAGGCAACAGAGCAAGATCTCGTCAACTTGAGGGACGAGATCGAGAGGAAGCTGAGAGGCGAGGTTTAGGTTGTTCTCGCCAGCGATCCGTTTGAGCACATGACTTATGGAGGACTTCCGCCTCGTCACTTGTAGGATTTGGACTAGACGGAGGCGCAAGCTGGGGCAGAGGTATACGATGGCATTGTGCTAGTGGCATTGCTAGTAGGTCTTTATGATACGAGCATGTGCAGTGGGAGGATGGGCATTGGCAAGGCGTTTGGCGCTGGAAGGCGTATACCACACTTGAGCCTATCGGGCTTTGAGGCATTCATAGCGAATCCATTGGACTGAATTTCCAATAATCAGGTTTCTCTCTTTCGTGCGCGTGATATTCAGTGTACCGAGCCCATCGAAGTTGTCACGATCCATGGTACGCCTGCCAAGCTTTTCGTAAAGTGATCCCACTTATGAGTCGCGCGCACCCCTTCCGACTACCATCACACCAGAGAGTGACTGAACAACATTGCGCCTCACCATGAACGACTTTTTACCAGGTCAAGAGCGCGCAATAAGCACAGTCCCCTCTCACCGGCTCAGACACAGCAGACAAGCACCATCCCACGCTTCTCCTCACCGTCACAAGCCTAGATCAGAAACACCTCACTCATTCCATGCACCAAATACACATACCCTACATAGCACTTCTGCACACCTACAGTACAGACTTGCTTGTCCGAAGGAGTCAAACGGGCCGTTGTAGAACGCAAATCTACCTGGTCGCACAGGACCAGCAATTTCTCAAGAGGGTATCAGGGGGCATTTCACCGCAACGGACGTAGGGTATGCTAATTTGGTGTTTGGATGTGAGTGAGGACGACGCCGAATTGTTCCCAGGCTCCTGCGCTGCTGCCGCGTGTGGGGTTTGAGGTTGTTCGTGCTCGGACATGTTTGGAATTTTGGGTAGAGAGAGATTCCAAGAACTTGTAAGGACTTCACGTAGAAGAATGATGAGCGTTCTCCCGGTGACCCACGATGATTTGGTAGGGCTGGTTCTTCGGGGGCTGGATCTAATCTTCGGGCTGATAAGACGATCTGATAAAAGTTTCTGTTCTACACCTTTCCTTCTTGGGATTGGCGTGGTGAGCCGGGCGTCGAACTTCCCGAATACAGAATTACGACCGCGACTCCTGGAAAGTTCAGAAAAGAACAACAATCGAAATAGACTCGTCGGCAAAGTCCTTGCAGTTCATTCGGTTACTAAAACCGTTCTCCTAAAACATAACTACAACACCACAATGTGATGACCACACAAACCCAACAACCTCCGCTATCGCACCCATCACGGTAATCTCCCGGTGGTATCATCCCATCGGCGTATACGAAGACGCACAGTCTCACACAGTGGACCCAACCTACAACTCGATGCTACCAAGCCAAAACGGCCCGCAAAGGGACCCGTCTTCGCCCTGAAGCGGAGCCATGTCGAGATTTTCCTTTCCCGTTCGGCAGTACTAAAATGGGATCGTGGGCGCCGTCTTAACGCAGGGACAACGCTCTTTTTATCAGATCATCTTTCACCTGCGATAAGGAAGGGCGATGGCTGCACGACCTGATTCTGTGAGGTCGGTGGACAATGAGGGCCAGAGGCCGATTGAGTCTGAGAAGAAGGTTGGAGAGGTAGTGGAGTGTAGTGATGCGGAGTCTGAGGGGCGGGGTGGTAGCGATAGAAGCGAGGCGATTCCGTTGAAGATGAAACTTATTGCTATTCTTTTGGTTACGGCAACGGGGTTTGGGTCGCATTGGAGTAGTGGTGTTACTGGTGCGATGAAGAGTACGGTCAAGAAGGTATGATTTACATGATTGCTGCTATGGTTACTCAGCTAACATGGAATAGGAATTGCATATCAACAACGCGCAGTACTCCGTGCTGGAAGCTAGCGAGGACTTCATGAAGACAGCCCTGATTCTTGTGAGCGGTCTTGTCACCGATAGGATTGGTGGTGCAAGTTCGTCTCCCCTCTCCTCTTATGTTATGTCGACGCTGACATGAAATCTTGGTAGGCGCCATGCTCTGGGGTAACGCCATCTACAGCATCGGTGCCATCTTCATCGCAGCCGCCACAACCGTCCGCTCGTACAAGTTCATGATCTTCGGATCCATCGTCCAAGCATTCGGCGACATAGCCACGCAAGTCGCGCAGTACAAAGTCTTCAGCTCCTGGTTCGCACCATCCAATGGCTTCGCATCAACACTAGGTTTCGAACTCGGCATCGGCAAGATTGGATCCTTTGTCGGAAAGGCTACGGCGAACGTCATTGCGAAGAACACTGGCGACTTCAGCTGGGTGTATTGGGTTGCCGTCTTCATGAACCTCTTCACGAACGTTACCACTCTTCTTTACTGGTTCTTTACGCGCTGGTGCGGTAAGAAGTATACTGGCACGGCCGATCCTGCGACGGGCGAACAGCTCACGGAGAATAACAAGAAGTTCGAGTTTGGAAAGGTTTTGCGACTTCCATGGACTTTCTGGAGTATCGTCGCTTTTTCCCTCTTCCAGACCAGCACCGCCTCTGTCTTTGCTCAGAACGCGACTGAGTTTGCTGAGCAGCGCTTCGACATGGATGCCGTCAAGGCTGGCTGGTACTCCTCCCTGGCGCAATACCTGGGCTTCTTCCTCGTCCCAATCATCGGCATCTTCGTAGACATCCTGGGCAATCGCATCACCCTGATGCTTGTCTGTGGCTTGGGCATGCTCCTATCCATGTGCCTGGCAACCTGGGGCCCGACATACTCCGGCACCGCAGCTTCATTCGGCATCTACGGTGTTGCCTCCATGTTTGGTCCGACTGTCATTATCGACTCGATTCGTACGTCGATGTGGTACCAAGAAGTCTTCGGCTCTGGCTATGCTGTCAAGATCGCCGTCAACAACGCCATGTCCATCATCATCCGTATCATCACGGGTGTCATCCAGGATCGCGATGACAACTCCTACGATAATGTTGTTATCGTATATGTTGTACTTTCTGCTTGCTCGGTCGTGGTCGCCGCGAGTATGTTCGTCGGCTGCTTCTGGACGAGCGATCTCGGGCATCTCCAGTGGACTAGGCGCCAGCGCATTAGGAAGGGCGAGATCATCAATGTGCGGAGGAAGGAGTTTGAGTGTGGTTCTGCTGGTGAGAGGAACAGGAAGATCAGCCTGTCGTTGTTCGTTGCGCTATTGTTCTTGGTCGTCGGTTCGTGGGCGGCGTACTTTTGGGGTGTTGCGACTGGCAACAATGTTTGAGGCTGGAAGACCGATTGTCAATATCAATGGGAAGTTATTTCCCTCGCGAAAGACATTCACAGCTGTACCAGTCGTATCTAATCATAGTTCCAACATACCTATGTCGATCCGATCCCAGCGCTTTCGTATGTCAACTTTCAAAGAAGATAAACGCCCAAGAGCCTGCATCATCTTTAAATTACTTCCTTTGCACATTTTTCTATTCATGCAGTCTGCAGACCTATTCTCTCTTTTCTTGTTTCAAGGTGATCGCATAGACCTATACGCAATGAATTCCCCCCGCTTCAAATGGAACGACGGGTGACAGGCCAAGCGGGCAGGCGAATCCGACTTTTCCATCCTCTGAGTGGCCTCCTTACTTTCCTGCCATAATATCCAGGCTCTTTAGTTCCATCGTTTGGAGGGTGACGGCGGACTAAGCCATATATTTCGTAGGTAATGCCGTCAACCTCATACCACCAGCAGTCTTTTGTTGGTTTCCATTCGGCCGGCTCAAAATATCCTAAATCCCGTTCCACACCCACGCTGTAGGGAAGTAGTTCTTTCCTCTTTAGTTCCATGTTTTGATTTGGAGCTTCGGGGAAATAGCCCATCGCTTGAATATAGGGGTATACGTCAGGTCCGGGTCGTTTGCTACCAAACTTTTGATGCCAATCGTAAGTCGCCTTGACCCAGACGTCGTATAAGAATGCATCCAGGCTTGTGGACACTATACTCCAGCTTCTCCCTAATTCCACTAACGCGTTTTGATACTCAGCATAAGAGTGAGACAGGTCTCCCACCAACTCTTCCGTTCTTGAAGTTGTCCATGGGGTGACTCGAAGGTACGTTTGGATGGCTCTTCGTCTCTGGGTCACAAATTCTTCGTAAAAAATGGCCATCACATCGAGTAGAAGTACCTCCAAGGATCTTGCGTAGTTGATTGTGAGTCGCTGTTCTTCTTCCACAAGCCCCATGAACCCGTAAACCTTATCGCGAGGATCCTGACAATGACTTTGGCTAAACAAGCGAACAGCGTGTAGAAGCGTCATCCAGATATCTGGAAGATGAGATTTCACCAGATAACTCGCAGGTATCGGAGGGACGCGATACTGAAATTGCCCGGCTATTGCACACAGATCACTCCAATCTACCCAGACAGGACCGGCGGAGGGATGGTTGTATAGTACCTTCTTCTTATCTGACAAGATGATTTCCTGCACAATCCAGACGCGAGTGAAATAATCGTTTCGCGTAATAGACGTCACATAAAGCAAATCGCTTTCCCTGGAATATACCAGTCGGTCTTTGGTGTCTCTCAAAGCAAACGGCACATCTCGGTTGTTGTGAATGTTTCCAAGCCAGATGATGGTCTCATGGCACCTGGAGTAGATCGATCCCATCATTCCAACCTGATGGTTTCTCTCTTTGACGCTGGTCTGGTCGATACAGATCTGGTCTATCCAAAGGTACTCGTCTCCCATCGGCTTCCATACATAATCGTCCCCCGCTGGTGTCCAATCGGCATATTTGTCCGTAGGCTCCCACGGGAAATCGTCCTCTGTCGTCATAACATAGGTTTGGAAGAATTGAAACAAATTTTCTCTGATACTGAGGGGTTCGCCGTTGACCGAGATATTGAACTGTGGTGATGGTGGGCCCCAGGTATAGGAAAGAGCGACGAAAGGTGGCGCGCTGCTCAATTCGAAAACTGAGATATCGAACTGCAGTCGGTTGTTCTCATCCAAACGCAGCTTAATAAGACGGATTTGCTGGGTGGATGTGTCCAAGGGTTGATGTCGATACATTTTTATCGGCCCC